GCAAAAACAAAAGTGTTGCGTTTATAATTTTGTTCAGTGTATATATACATCTAAACAGTCAATAACAACAGAGGCTGTTGAAAAGTACACAAAAACAATGCCAGCAAGAATGCAAGCTGTTATCAAGGAAAAAGGAGGCCATACAAAATATTCATTTTTTTTAGTTATTATGTGTGAATAAAGTTGCTTTGCAACGATTTGTATCGTGAAAAGCGCTATACAAATAAACTTGAATTGAATTGACAGTGGTCTAATAAATCTATTTAGATTTACACTGTATTTATTGACTGTAATTGGGCATCTGAATAAAAAATAAATAAATAATAACATGCTTTACTATTTGCATTTCTTGTAAAACAGTAAATCTGACAATTCTTGGATAACAACAATAATTATATTTTAGCATAATTTTAGCAAATATTAATGTGCGCAAACCTTACAGTGGGTGGTGGTCTAATAAATTTGTTAAAGGGGTCCTATTATGCTCTCTTAAAAAGTCTTGATTTTGTTTTGGGGGTGTACTAGAACATGCTCTCACGTTGGGGGTTCGAAAAACACATTATTTTTCACATAATTTACATTGTTAAATACCTTTTTCCCCAGCCTGGCACAAATGGCTCGATTAGTTCCGGCTTTGATGAAGGCCTTCCGAAAAACAAAATGTGTTGTGATTGGTTAGCTCTCCCAGTGCATTGTGATTGGCGAACAGCTTAGACGGTGTTTCAGTACTGCCACGCCTCTTGCCAAAGCAGCAAGTTCCATCTGCTCTGGTATAGTTAAGGATGACGTCAATATTGCCATATCGATTTGAGCTGTATTCGGACCCCGAGAATCGCGCAGAATGATATTCTAATGACGCTTTGTGATCTCACAAAGCCCGGAAAACAACGCTGTAGTCCAAACGATCCGTTCGTTGTAGTTCTTGAAAAGGGATTTTTAAAAAACAAAATATCTCCCTTTGGAGTGGACTTTGAGATTTGTAACTTTGTAGATCTTTTTTATGCCCAAACAAACACACTACACACTGACTAAAATTCAAAAAGTGAAAAAGCATAATATGACCCCTTAAAGCACTGTGAGTTGCTATTATAGAGCGAAAAAAGCCTCTCGATCACCCTCTGGAGGAGAAAAGAAGAGAGGATGAACTGTTCATTCCCACACTGAAAACAGACAGAAGCCACAGAGAAAGTGAATGAAAAAACAACAACAAAAAACATCTACTCGTCCCTCTTTTTCACAAGTAAGTGAATAAATAAATAAATAAATAAGGTTACGGTGAGTGTTTTATGTACACCTTACAGCTTTCATCTTTTCATCTTTGCTCACGTTTTAACTCAGCATTGAACCATGGTGCTTAAAAACAATACATAACTGTATATTGAATGTAAATGCTCTTAATTGTAAAATGTATTGTATAATAGTAATAATAATAACAAAAAAATAAAAAGGTGGAGATTTTACATAGTTTTAGCACAAAGTAGGCCTAGCTAATTAAACTTTTTTTCAAGTCCAGTAAGTATGAGGAATCAAGATGTATTGTAAACAAATGCTGTGAGGGCGCTTCAGAAATGTTTTCCAGAGCACCTGTGGCCTAACTTGGATTTTCCCAGCTGTAAAGGGCAGAACAAATTTTCGCCACGTCCGAGTTAATCATCATCAGAAACTTCAGTGCACTCAAACTGAACAGCTCTCCTGTTTCATTTAGCTTATTGCCAAAAATAATTCACATTTGAAATGTTACAGAACGGCTTTTATCTCATTTGGCTTCTGTTATTATTTGGGTTGAGCAACAGTGGAGCGCTGAACGACCCACATCCAGAGCTCTCCGATCAGGAGCTTTTCTGGGGAGCCGATCAGTATGACTTTTCCATCATGCTGCGTGCTGGAGACCTCCAGTGCTACTGGCACTTTGCTCACTTCGGTGAGCGCTTCTACTTAAACTCCATGGTAAGACAACTTTCTACATGTAAATATTGGTATGGTCTTGAATCCTACGCATGTTGTAGCTCACTGTGTGTTTGTTCAGGTCCAGCTGGTGACCGGTGTGGCTCTGGACAGACATCTCTCTGTGACTGTTAATGCTCCGAGCGGTTTAATAGTCGGCAAAGTTGATGATGCAAGTGGTCAGATTGCCTTCAATGTTAAGGAGACTGGTGAGTGTCTCTTTGATAAGAGTTTAATATCTGCTGCTGGGTTATGAACAGGTTTTTTATTTATTTATGCAAAGTTCATATGGATCATGCAGTGCATGAGAATTTTACAAAATAATCTTTAACCCATTTGTGCCCAAATGTTTCTGAATGGTTTCATGCATATAGTCATGTTAATAGTGTCCTATGTGAAAATGTTCTGCATTTATTTTCCCCAGGTTTTTTTTTTTTTTTCTTGAAAATCGTATTTGAATGTGCGGCAACTATAGTTATTATTGTTATTATAATATTCTTTTCAAAATACATGATTATTTAAATAATTATCATGTGTAGGCTACACCCATGATTGTTTATTTATTTATTTACTTATTATTGAACATGCAGGTATTTTCATTCTTAGAGGTGTGTTAGTTAAATGAAAATAAATAAATAAAAATAAATAGCATGAAGAAAATATTACATCTGTATAATAAAAAAGGTATACCTGATAGAAAATGACACGTTTTTTTTTAGGCCCATAGTATTCAATGGCTGACTGTAGTAGGTGATTTTATATAATAATGTAAATGTAAACTCATTACTTGTCTGAATATTAACATTATAATAGAATCACAAGCTACTAGTCATAAAAAAGAATTAGGGTCTTTGACCAGTTAGAATGAAACACATCCAAACTGGATAAAGGGGCCTCACCCCCCCCCCCCCCATGGCATAAGCAGACGCAGAAGTGGGGCAGAAGAGCTGTGGAAAGATTGCTCTCTCTTCTCCTCCTTTTGACAGATTTATTCCCTATCAAATGAAGGTCTACTGTACAGTAGAGATGTCAGTTAAAGGGTTAAGTTATGTTTTAGGTGGGATATTATGAAAGCAAAAAGCACTAAACAAGACCAATAACCTTGATTTATTAACCTATTAACACAGTATACCCCATTTCCTCATGATATGTAATGACAAGTCATTACTTTTAAGTATACAAAAAAACTATAGGTCTCCTGGAAGATTTGTTTTGTTTGGATGATTCTGACCTTCATGATTATGTAGATATATATATGTCAACAAAAAAATCTTATTAGTAACATGAAAATTACATTTCTTTGAGAGGGTTTGCCTTCACCATGCTTCCTGGAAGTTGGGCTAGGAACTTGACAGCCTCATGTGACAGGAAGGAAGTGAATACCTTTTTTTTTTTCTTGAAATCCTTTATTTGGTTGTTTGCTTGCATGTCATTGAGAAATAAAACATGGATAACATCTAGAAAAATACTTACAAAAGGAAAATGACAACTATAAACTGCGGCAACTATAGTTGCCGGTAAGTGCCATATTGATTTTCAAGCTCTGAGAAGAATGAATAAATAATTAAATAAATAAACAAACACAAACAAATAAATAATTATCTATTTTGTGCAGGTTTTTATCAGATGTGCTTCAGTAATTTCCACAATCGCTTCGGGAGCATGCAGGTTTTCCTGAACTTTGGTGTGTATTACGAGGGACAAAAGGAAGAAGAGAAGAAAAAGAAAGAAGAGGACATGAAACAGATAAATAGTACACTGTCCTTTATTGAGGTAATAAACAACTACATCCAGCAGCAACAAGCACATCCTTACCTTGTCACTTCCTATTAATTATCATAACCTCCTCGCCCTTATATTTTAATTATTCATTCATTTCTTTATGGAAAACGATGTGAAATATTTAATAGATTTGGGTTTTTTTTTTCCCCACCAGCCAACTGAATAAAATAACATTGATCATTTAATTAAATTTTGACATAGTAAGTCCTTGAATGTTCACATTTCTCAAATCTTCATGTAGGAAAGCAGCAGCAGGCTGCAGAGGTTTGTCTTCCACATGTGGCGTCATTATAACTACGAGCGAATGAGACGCGGCACTGATTTCTACCTGCTTCAGTCCAACTCCACTTATGTGAACAGCTGGTCTGCTGTCCAGAGTCTGCTCATCCTCACAGCTGGATACCTGCAGCTCTACTGCCTCAAGAGGCTCTTCAACACCAAACCAGCAGAGGGAGACAAGCCCCGCTGTTAACATCGACACTAAACCTGTCTCTTACTTCAGCCCTACATGAGTATTTTGTTCACTTTTATGTCCCAAGAGTGAATTTAAACTAAAACTAAAACTATATGATGTCTTTTCTTTGGTTATTTGAATATTATATTAAAATTGACTTCTTCATGAATTTGTTCTTGCTTTTCAAATGCTTCTTTGTTATGACTTTCAATGCTAAAATGTAAAATTCATTATAATAATAACTATTACAATACATTACAATATTCATTATTCTGACTGTCTCATGACTCATAAAAGTTTCCCCCCAATAAAGAATTGTTCAAGCTATAATTTTACTGAATTATGAGAAAAGTGTGAAAATGTTATTTGATTGTGTGAACTCCAAAAAGGAAAGGAAAGGACAGGAAAGTCATTAGAAGTTAGTCCTACATCCATACTATACTCTATTGTAACTGTTTGACCCCGTTGGACAGTTTTCAATTCAGGTTGAGTCAAAGTGACTCCTTTGGATGCTGAACAAAAGAAAATAAATCACCTTTATATCAGAATATTGGTATATTAAAATGGTAAAAACAACAAGTTGTTGTTGACAACTGAAGGTTCAGTCATTAATTACTCACCCTCATGTTGTTCCAAACCCGTAAGACCTTCGTTCATCTTCAGAACACAAATTAAGATGTTTATGATGGAATCTGAGAGCTCTTTGACCCTCCCATAGACAGCAAGGGTACTACCACGATCAACGTCCAGAAATGTAGCAAGGAGATCAGTAAAATAATCCATGTGACATCAGGGGTTCAACCGTAATATTACGAAGCTACGAGAATACTTTTTGTGCGCAAAAGAAAAAAAAAACGACTTTATTCAACAATTCGTCTCCTCCGCGTCACCCTAGCGCCATTTTGTAGAGTATCCACTGAACGCAAACAGCGTATGTTGACACAGAACAACATATGCTGTTTGCGTTCAGTGGATACTCTACAAAATTGTTGAATAAAGT